AGACCCGGGAGAAGATTTGGCTTTGTAGGAGAACAAAGTGAGCACATCACTCTCACCCCTTTTGCTGGACAGCTCCTGCCATGGCAGCTCCTCTGCCTGGATGGATATTTTCTCCTGTAATCAAATGTTGTCTTTGCCCCTGACAGGATGAAAGCATCAGGGTGATTTCAGGCTGAGGCACTTCTGCAGACACCTCTGCTGTTCCTCAGGGGGCTCCCTCTGACTTGCTCACCCACCTCTGCATAAGCCTTTGCTGGGGCTTGAGACCACTCTCATCCTCACCCTTGCTTAAGCCATCCCCACTGTCCCTACTTTCCAGGCTCTGGAACCACTGGCTGCTTGATCATCTCCACCAGCCCCTCCTCTATCAACTTCCCAGGCTCTTCCCAGGACCACAACCCCTGGCAGTTCCCAGAAATGCCCAGACCTCCACAGCTTGTGAAACACTTAGGAAGCCCAACAGAGAAAGGAATCTTCTGAATCACTTCAAAATCCCCTTTCTGCAGTACTGCAATCACAACACAGTCTACAATTCCCTGCATTTGATCAATTTCATTCTTGGCACGGAAACTCAACCAAGTCAGCTGCAAATTTGATATCTAATGTGTAATTAGGAAGGGTGGAGAAGGACATCGAGTTCCAAAACCTCACCCAAGGTGTTGCACAAGTCTACTTGGAAATCCTATAAAACCCAGCTAGTCTGAGACTGCAGCAGAGGTAATTGAGAGTCCTCTGCTGCCACTTTGGAGCTGCGAGCAGAGTCCTGTGCCACTCTTTCTCACGGTAGGTTTTTATTGTATATCTATTAAGTTGGATATTTATTTAGTTATATAAATGTTAATCTCATGGAGTCGGTAACCCTAAAGGACTTTCCAGACAATGCATGGCTTGATCTGGGGCAGATAGGGCCATGCTCAATGGAGTACTGTAGGAAGTCAGCACGTGTGGCTCCTGTTCTCAGTTTGTGGCTCATGGGTCACCACGTTCCTGGTGCAGGGGTTGAAAAGAGAAATAGGACAAGATATCTTGGGTCAGAGTAGGTCTGTGTGTAGCTCAACATCCGGAATGCAGTGGAAATGGAGAGATGAGGGTCAGGGAGAAGAATAAGAAAAGAGCAAATGTGCAAGGTGACTTGTCAAGCCTTCAGCAGCCCTCAGCTCAGACCCTTCCCAGCCAAAGGTGGGCTTTGTGCTTTAGAGGCTGTGGCAGCTTTCTCTCCCAGGAA